ATTGCTAAAAATTAATTTTTATTGTTTATTGTTGGCTTAATCTGTGGTTTTAATGTTTTAAATAATGTTTTATGCATTGTAACTTATTCACTGTAAAAAAAGAAAAGTTTCTTGTCTTAATAAGAGCTTTTATGATTTTTCTTTTTAGTTCGTCAAGAACTTCCTGTATAATATAGAATCCTATTGCTTGATATTTATACATATTTTTAGGATTGCATTATGTCTGATAGTCAGAAACTGCCTATATTTGAATATATAAAGTCATTCTTTCAACAAACTTTATGTAAATTTAAATTTATGATGACAAAAAGAAGAGAGATAAGGTAAATAGATAGAAGTAATGAATAAAGGAGACTTTAAAGATGAGTATTGGACAGAGAGAGAAGAAAAAAATTTTTTCAAAGAATAGCTTTTGATAAGTAGTTTATGTAAAAAAAATCTAAAAACAAACTAAGATTTCAAGAATGATTTCTGAAAAAATTTATTTTTAAGTTGGAAATGAAGTTCCTTATAAAACTGTAGCAATTCTCGAGAGCCAGAAGTTTGCCATAACATCCAACATTTAAATTTTTATTGAATACATAACATTAAATTCCAGATATATATATATTTAACAAGCTAAAAAATGAAATGATAGGCTGACAGCCTCTTATTCTTTTTGATCTATGACAATTTAAATTGGTATTAATATATAATCATTAAGATACAGTAAGATCCACTTAATGTGGGGATGTGTTCCTAGACGATAAAGCACTAAATGAAACAGTGTTAAAGGAGGCCATTTTAACATAAAGTAAATAGGGATAGGGGAACATGCGATCGAAAAAACAAAAATTTTACTTTAATTTTAAGTTATTTTTATATTAATTTGTATAATAATATATGTTAAATAACACATAAACATATGCACACAGAAATGCATAATATATTAATTAGTTCATTTTTTTCTTTATTAATAGTTCATGTTTTGCCACAAAGCTCCTGATTTTTCTAAAATTCTTGTTTTTTTTTTTTTTTTTTTCAATAAAGTCGTGAAGTTTCATTTGTTGCTTTTTTCTTTTCTTAAGCAAATGTCAGTAGCAGAAGGTTGCATCCAAAATGCCTCGTTTTGCTTTTGCACTCCTTTCAAAGTCTAAATCATTCGCTACAATTTGATCAACGATTTCGGTTATCGTTACCAAACTTTTACTAAAGAAATCTGTAACAAGTTCTTTGGGTTCTTTGTTTTCAGAATCTCTATTTTCCAGTTCCACATGAATTCCATGTTCTGTCAGTTCTTGAAGGACGTCGTTGGTAAGACTCTCACCAAAAACCCGCTGTAACTCCTCAATATCCTGCTCATCTACATCTAGTCCTGCTGTATCAATTAGGTTGAGTTTGATCAACCTAACAATACAGTGATAGGCTCTTCTCTTTAAGAATTCTTGCATACCTTCAGCCTTAACTTCTTCGACACTTCATTCATGCATTTATTGGTTAATTATTGCCAAGTGAAGCCGATATTGCCTATGGCATCCATGATGTTATATTTTTTCCAAAACTGCAGAAAACAAACATAGATTTAAGGAAAGTATGGTGCTACAACAAATTGCCACCTTTTGCTGATTGGTTTGTGTTTGGGAATAATCATATTATATACGAATAAATGAAATATGGTATTAATTTGAATCAGCATAAATTTTGAGCTTGTTTTTAGACTTCAAGCAGATGGCATTGTTGTAAACGAGGCAGCTATCTCTGACGCAACTGCTCCCATATATCGTTGATTGTTACCGCTCAGCAGTCCAGACAGCAATGGAGACGATGACGATATATATCACATATTATCATTAAATTACGTTTTTTAAATTTCTCCCCCCTCAACCCCCACATATGGACTTAACCTTCTATTCAACAAAATTTAAATCATTAGATTATCATTTATAGTTTACGAGATATAAGCACAACAAATCTTGCCATTTGTTTGGTTACTATGGTTTTCATATACCTCCCAGTACTAACCCAATTTTAAAGACATGTTTGGATCAAAAAAGAGAAAGACATCGACCATACATGAGGTGTTTAGCTGGCAGAAAAGAGGGTTAGAAAAAGGGGAGAGGAAGAAGGAGGAAGAAGAGACAGACAGTAGAGAAAGATAGGATCCCTATGAACAGCGTACATAAGACTACAGTATCCTCTGGGTTTGATGTTGGCATGCAGTTTTTAGGCTGCAAGGCCATAGTCCCCTGAAAGGTCTAAAACAAAACCTGAGTGTAGCAAAGACCAATAATTGAGTGCTGCCACGAATAGCTAAGTGTAGAAGTTAGTGCCAAATGGCTGTTAGTAGGAAGACTAATATCTACTTAATACTAATAAAACTGAACATGATTGCGAATCTTAATACTACTTACAGCTAGACAGACAGCACAAAAAGAAAACAAACTAGATGAGACGAATGAGAAAGATCCCAAAAAATTTTATTATTATTATTATTATTATTAGTTAAAAGGGCTGGCAGAATTACAGTATTAATAAAATAAAATAATATTACAGATGGATACCAGTCCTATCTTCACTGCTTGCCATGTCCAATCACCAGGAACAACTATTTCCACTGCAGAGACAACCTTTACTTAGAGGCTATGCCTCTGCACAAATATGTAAAACAGTTTAAAAATGTCTGCAGAGGCACAGCCTCTAAAGAAAGGTTGTCTCTGCAATGAAAATAGTTGTTCCTGGTGATTGGACATGGCAAACAGTGAAGATAGGACTAGTATCCATCTGTAATGTTATTTTACTTTATTAATTATTATTATTTTTTTATTATTGGTATAACAGATGGATTCTGTGGTATTTGTAGATTTCCTGACTTTTAATACCATTCCCTGATTTTTTCTGCTAAAAATCTCATTCCTGACTTTCCAGGTTTGTACAGACCCTGTCAATATCACTATAAACATGTTAGAGATTCGCACCTCGGTATTTCACAAGCTGTGTTCCATGTTCTCACACATCCTGGCCGGATCATACAATCCTCACCATTACAAGACCACGGCCTACAAAGTGTTGGTTAGGAGGGCTTTCATCCACTCTTATACTTCCAAACACTTGATGCTGAATCTACACAAATAGAAAAATTAATCATTGCTCGTGGTTACCGAGCAGTTGTACATTGCTTAGTGGATCAATTCCATTGGATGCTTCCAGAGTCCATGCCCAAGGTAGACACTTCTATTACAGACCATGGTGGAAAAGTGGAAGGGGCGTGTGTTACCATCAATTCCTTCCTAAGTTCATTATTTGCAAAAATTGCCAAGGAAACATGCAATTCTTATCGTTTTTCAGAGGTGCCTGTCTATTTTCACCATCCTTCAAAATGGAAAGGACCTCCCAACCCTAGCAGACTTCCTGGCATAGTGTCCCTATCAGAGACACCAGATGCAATGGGGACCTTCTGTACATTGGGTCCACTAAATGTTCTATGAAAAGGAGAAAATAAGAGCATATCTCTGAAGTGCAATGTNCTACAACTTCGGTTGTTGTTCGGGATACAGTTAAGGTTTTAACAAAGTTCGAGTGAATACATAATTAGCAAAAAAAAGTTGAAATAAAATGATTAAACAAAAATTATTACAAATATCGTAAATAACAAATGCATATACAGAGATATTTTTGGAGGGAAAAAATGGTCTTCACAATTTGAAATTGATCGAACACACAGTAAAATGTTTGTATACATGCGCGCCATCTATTGTAGGATAAATGTACTATGCCAGAAACCTTCACGGGAGAATATTAAACAACTTCCCAAAGTTTCATGGCAATCGGATAAACGATGTAGTAATGCATGAAGGACAGACACACAGACATACATTCATTTTTATATATATAGATAATGTATGGAGAATCAAATGGGCCCCTTTTGTTAACAATTTTAGGGATTATTTAATTTTGGGATAATGAAATCACTTTTATCATTAAAGTTGCAAATTATGCAGTCCTAAATATATTTATTTGAATCCAAAAATGGTTTTAGGCTAGTTAAATATCACTCTTTCACTTTGACATCAAAACTTTTACAACATAAGTGACCTTCAAAATTATTTTCAAGGTCAACAAAAACAGGTCCTGTCCAATTCTCCATACATGACTTTCTACATAACTACCTTAACTAAAATTATTGTAACTTCAGTACTTCTGAAATGAAAATGGTGCAAGGGACTTTTGACTTTCCCTATTATATATATATATATATAAACTCGTGTGTGTGTGTGAATAAACTTGTTTCTTATACTACGTTCACACACAATTCATGACTCACTTCGATCTTGATTTACCTACAATCTGGATTGTAACTGTTGCCAGACCAACATCCAACTGTTTGCACAGGCAGTCCACTTGAGAAGAACCCGGCTGTTACACGCAATGATAAAACTGACATAACTACGCAGTAAGTCACAATCATCAACAACCAAAATGGAAGTTTTGGTTAAAGTAAATACTTTTTCTTGCCATATATCTAATAATAGACAGATGTCTTTTTTTTCTCTGTTGATAGCCAACACGTGTTCTGCAGCCATCTTGTATTTTCTCGTGTGTGTAGGATTGTGGGATCTCTCTTATGACTGGATCTAGTTACAAGAACTCTCTTGAATTGATCGTAATTGAACCTTGTTTCAGTCGAGATTGAAACGGTTGAGAGAGGTCGCACCACAGACCATGGTCACAATTTATATCGAAATGCTCGGTGCGAATGGTGTATTATGATATTATGTAACATATGACACTGATTACATCTAGATGTTACTTATTGTTTATTGAATGTATACATATCTATACATAATACTAAACATATAGCAGAATTGCACATTTATTATATTATTATTTACAAATTTCAAGGGTTAATACTAGTATAAAAGTTAAAAGACATTCTATTAAATAACATATAAATAATTCTTCACAGTGTTATTTAATATAATTTAATTGTAAGTAAAACATTTAACAAAGCATAAAAAGCACACCTGGATTTTTACTAATGCTTTGTGGAGGCAGCAACGCTGTAGTCATAGTGTTTGGATTCATGATTAAAACCTATAATATAAAAATTTAGATATATTACATAAATACTGTATTGTTTGCAAATAATTTCATAAAACATTTATAAAGAAAGAGTGATTATTATATTTATTAGTAACTAGTTTTCTAATGGATTATCTACTTTATAAAAATTTTTTGGAAATGTCACAATTTATTAGAAAACTAACTTAAAGCTTAACAATAGTTTTAGTTAATGACATGTTATTATTTAATTAAAATACATATGAATATATAATAATATACACATGCTATCCGTTATTCTAAATATTTCATACTAACACCAAAAACAATTTAGTAAATGAGTATTATAAATAAAAATTTTTGAATTTGAATTCCTGTTAATTGAAATTATGATATAAACATACTATATATATAAGCTGCTTTTCTAGAATGTGTTTTTAACTGCAATTTTGGTATTTAGATTATCATCATCTATATTTTTAAAAAACATAATTCAGCAAATCAACATTAATTTTTAGTTTTACAGTTGTATTAAGTTTTAAGTACACTGCTTCAACACTAAAAACAATTTTAATGTTGAAACAATGTACTTAATTATGGTTTACTATAAAAACCACAGTGATACATGAAAAATTGATTTTAAATTTAATATTATATTCTGATTTAAAAGTTTACATAGATCTATTGTACACTTGTTTAATAAACCTGATAGAAAATAAAAATACTATGATTTATAAAATTTCTATTTTCTATTATTAATTTATTTATTTTCAATCATTATTTTTATTTTCTATCTATCAGAAGAAATTTAAAATTACCTTGTTTTATCAAGTTTCAGTTTTACTTATTGTATTTTTCACTGTATTTCTATTTTTATATCAATTCAGTGTTCTTTTAACTTACAATTCAACTACTTCATTTTTTGTTAGTGATATCTCATAATAAAAATAAAAAGCTGCATACATTCAGGTGGAAATATTCTGGATAACTAAAACTCATATCTAATCATGCCCAAACTTTCTGCATAAAAATTTTAAGTCAATGAATTAAGGAAGGTTGTAGTATTGATGATCAAGGTGAAAAAAGTAACTTATTGCAAATCATGAAAGCGGTACACGTGGGCTGATCTGGTGGTCATGCTTAATTACAATACAGCTTGCTTGGCTTTCTCACAAATAATACTCTTCGGGATGATATCATCAGCTAATTATTTCTCATTTATCCACACTAGGAGGAATTTTCCATCTCAATAACACGCAATCTCCTGGAGGTGTCACATCTTTAGCCAAATTTGCTGCTTTTATTGTTTCCTTGTTCTTAAGAATGCACACTGTTGACTCTGGTATATTAAGTAACCTTAAGAAAGGGTAAATCACTCCTTTCAAAAGGTACTGTAAATGCAATTTTCATTTTATTATGAAGTATTTACATATTTATTCTTTTCATGATTTAATTTGTTATTTAGGACATTTAATTGTGTTATTTTTACTTTAAATAGCATAAATAAATAAGATCTAACCACAGAATAAAAACAGTAATAAACAGATCACCTTGTGACCCCAGCAGTAGAGTTAATATATCATAATGTTTTTGATCTAATACTATAAGCCTTCCTCAGTGAATTACTATTTAAAATAAAAAAACATAAGAATATTGAATTCAACAAAAATAATTTTCATACTGTTGAATTTGATATTCTTATGTTTTGTTATTTTAGATTGTAATTCACTAAGGAAGCCCTATCATATTAGGTTAAATACATTATGATTTATTAAATCTATTACTTCTATCACTATCTTATTACTTAGTGTATTTGCTGTTTGAGTTTATTAAATGGGTATTGTTTAGGGTCTGGGAATATATTAATTCAGTTTCCATTATTTATAATGAGGAAAATTGCTTCAGACTTCAAACAGCCTCCTGGAACAAATTAAATCCAAAGTACAAGGCACCACTGTACTTTCAATAAATAATATCAAATAAAAACTAATAAATCCAGAGTTCAAATTCAAAATTAAAAAACTGAGTACCTTTCACTGAATATTTCTATTTATTCTTTCAAATTGTATTGAAAGATTTTGACCTTCATTAAAAAAATATACCCGAAGAAAAAACTTCAAAAATAAAATGTTTGAATTCAAATATGTCAGAATCTTCTACGCATTCCACACGGAGGTTCTCACACTGAAAAGGTTCAAGTTTTTAAAGAAATCTACTAGAACAAGGTCATAGGTGCTGACTGAAAACATTCGTAACAGTTTTTAAATTAAATGCAAGGCCCATGTAAGGTTAGCGAGTTTTATTTACAGTTATTATTCTTCAAAACCTTACCTGTTAGCCTTTTACTATTATATCAGTACACTACATTAGTTTGAAATAAAAAATAATTTTATTCGTTTAGATATGATTTTCAATCACTGTATGCCATTAACTAACTAATCAGGATAACTTCTTTAAAAGTTCATGAAATTCAGCCAATAATTTTCATGAAAATAAAAATTAGTTTTAATGATGATAAAATGATACATCCAAAAGAAATGTTTTTAAAAATGTTTTCTGATGTATTTTAAATTTTTCAATAAAATATTGTACTTATTTTGTTAGTTTCACTTTACTAATCCTCATATAATTTGTCTTTCTTGATGGACAAATTTACTAGCATTGTTACTAGATAATATGGTTGGAAAGCTGCTATTGTTCTCACCCTTCATTTTTATTCTAGGGACAACTGCTCCCGATACAGCAGCTTTTTGATTGGCAAGAGTCACGTTAACACATGCATATTTTTAAAGGTGTTTTTGTACTGTTTCTAGTTATTTCAGTTTTACATTTTTGAGTTTTTTATAATATAAGATTGTTGATTTGGCTTTATATTAGGATTTCTCTAACAAGATCCTGGCTGTTTTTTAATCTGGAAAATTCTGCAAATTTTTTAAAAAGTTCACTTTTTTCTTATTTTGTGTTAAGGTTGAGGAAATGTTGCAAATAGAAAGTATAATTAACTCAAATTGTCAAAATACATTTGTATTTATTAATTTTAAGCCTGCTTATTAGTTTTTTAAATTTTCGCTCGATATGGCATGTCAAAAATGGTCAATAATCAATATATAGCTTATTTATGGAAGGACTAACAATTCTTTACTTGTCAGAACCTGTAATATCTGGAATAACTGTGCTTATGCTGTCTTAATTTTTAATTTAATTAACTATGCCCAGTAGCTTCAATACAGTAGAGCGTCGATTTTCCGAAAGTCAATCATCCGAAACGTCAATCATCCGAAAGAATTCCACTCGGCAAATTTAAATTTTCGCCAGTGCTGTGGTGCTTCAATCTTTGGCTATGTCTTGGGTTACTCAAATATTTTACGTTTTTGATACTAAATTAACATCTGAAGTATAATTTTTTATTGTTTTTATATTTTTCAATATATTTATTTTGTTTGTACAAAATAAAAAAATAATTTTTAACGATACAATAGTCTTTGTTAGGTTTAACATCGACGAAAATTCAACGCGAAGCGACACGCAACGGAGAAAAAT